TTGGGGTTAAGTAGATTGTCAGAATAAGTGAGAAATGAATTTAACTTCTGTTAGACAGCTATCATACTGAATAAATATTTACTGTGAATGTATGCAAAAATGTATGGCATATGGCTGTCTAACAGAAGTTAAATTAATTTCATTATCTTGGGTCCATCTTGGGTTGCCGTCCGGAGTTGTCCAATATGGCGGACCATCTCGCACATGCGCAGTAGAGATCGGGCAGAGGGACGGATCGGGTAGTGACAGTGGCCGTTTCTCAATCACGAGGATGCTTGCTTGGTAGCACATGTCTTCCGAGTTACTTCCTTCAGAAGCTAGGCAAGAATCCTTCCTGGCATTCGGAAAACGAAGAGTGGAATAGGCTAGCAAGTGTGCAGGTGTGCGTCATATGAGAGGCCCCGCCTTCCACTTTCCGCCACAGATTTGGGGAAATTGGTCCGTGCGCAAAGCATTGTGGGGATTTGCAGGATGCGAAGTCTACCCATGTGCAGCCTCGAAATTACCCCCAAACCAAGGACTCGGCCTCGGTGAAATTCCTAGTATGCTGGAGATTGGAACAGTCCTTCGGCGGCACTCGAAGACGTAGCATCCTTGAAATATTGCCAGTTTCCTCGCGATTGAGAAACGGCCCGTGACAACACTAACGAAGGATCACTTCTTCTTCAGGGCAGGGAAGGCTACGCAGTACGCAGGCTACTGCCCCGCAGCTGCTGCCTCCCTGTTTGACTCTGGTACTGCACATTACTCACGAGACGTTGTAAAAAAAGAATGAGTGGGGGGCGAACGCACTGACCACTCCGCCAGCGCCACAGCGCGTGCCGGTTGAGAATGTCTGGCGTGCCAGATTTGGCCCGCGGGCCGCCAGTTGATGGTCACTGGGTGATTGTTATATTCTGCCCTTTGTATCACAGGAAGACTGCAGAATACCTTGTTTCTATCTCGGTGGGTAGTTATTTTATTAAACTCCAGTAAAGGTGAACATCTTACATCTCAAGCCTGTATGCCTGCATGTGTGTAACACCAAAACATGTCAGAGTAGCAACATCACAATTGGTCGGCAGCTCTACTGCCTAAAACAATAGTTACTACTATTACAGCGATATGTTTTGTTTCATGCAAGTTCAAGTACTCAAATGTTTATGCAGGCAGGTGCATCACTTATTAGACAACTCAACAGCGTGTACCCACGTTGCAGTGCAGTGTTTCTGTTTTATCAGAACGAATGAAGTAAAAGGAATTTATATGAAACGTATGCAGGCCTGGAGGTCTCTTTTGTGTCCATCAACATCTCGCTTCAGTTCTCAGCACACAGCCTGATCTAATGCTTGACACTGCTTTCAACCTCAGCTCACCTCTTGAAATCCCTCTCACTCCGACCCATTTACACACCCACCAGTGACAGAGAATAAAGTGACTAATGACACTGAACCCTCCTTTCATCTCATGGGTGTTTCCACCACTCGCCCTCCCTGCTATAAAAGGTTCATTCAGCCCGTCTCAGTGTCTATAGGACGCTGAGAGGGGCCCTTCTCTTTCTCTGTGTACATTAAGGGGCCTTCAGATCTCACCAGAAAAGAAAAAAGGGCAAGAAAAGAAGAGGCGAGAGGGAACGAGGGGTTCACACACTCATCCACGCACTTCCTCCCTGTCCTCCAGTGTCGCCGAAAACAAAGGGAGGGGAGGATGAGGAGGAGGAGGAGGAGGAGGAGGAGGAAGAATAACAGTCCATTCATTGAGGGACAATTAGGGGATGAGAGGGATGCTGGTACCGAGGTGAAAGAGGAACCATGTGTTTTGGTACAGTACGCTCCTCTGTTACTATCAAGCACTGGACCAAAGTACATTTTTGAGGTTTGTGTTAGTAACTTTAATATGTCCATGTTATACTCCTTTAAAGCAAATATGCACTCGACTACATTTATTTCACAAGATTAGTTACTACTAAATAAGTACCGTAACTAATAAGGTTAATATTAATAATACAAATATCAACTAATCAATCAACTAATTAACTCTCTATCTACATATCTATCTATCTATCTCCTTCCTTCCTTCCTTCCTTCCTACCTACCTACCTATCTATCCATCCATCTATCTCCTTCCTTCCTACCTATCTCCTTCCTTCCTACCTACCTATCTCCTTCCCTCCTTCTTACCTACCTACCTACCTACCTACCTACCTACCTACCTACCTACCTACCTACCTACCTACCTACCTACCTACCTACCACCTACCTACCTACCTACCTACCTGCCTGCCTGCCTGCCTGCCTACCTACCTTTTTCATGAGACGTGCATTTCTGTGGCCTTTGTAAAGGGCTGTTTTCATTTGTCATGATTCTGTTTGCTCATGTAAGATGTGTTTTGTGATGAAAGTGAAAGGAGATAGTGTTAGTGGGTAAAGACGACTCAGGTCACTGAAAGTTAAAAACACCACAAAGCACAAGCAGCAGCGTATGACTCAGAGGTCTCTGCTTTGAGCACACAAACCTTCACAGTGTCTTTCTATGAATGCATTATGCAGAGGATTCATTGTAAACACGCACACATATACAGTCGATGCATTCTCTGATGCTGGGAAGGGAAGCGTGTGAGTAAGGCTGTGTGGGCGTTAAAAGGCCTTCTTTGCTGATTCATAGACGAAGGCTGAGCTGACGATAAAAGGTGGTGAAGAGGCGACAAAGAAAGGGAAGGACTGTGAGGCTTTCACTGCTGGTTTCTCATTAAAAGTTAATATGTCAAACCTCACAGCTAGTCCCGAACAGTTAGTGCAGCACAGGGGCTTTCTGCAGGGGCGTCCACCAATCAGAAGGGTGCGGGTTCGATCCCCTGCAGTTCACATGTTGATGTATCCGTGTGCAAAATGTAACCCCAAGTTGCACCTGATGGCCAACAGTGTGTGTGTGTGTGTGTGTGTGTGTGTGTGTGT